TAAGAGAGAGGAGTTTGGAGAGAATGGGTGAGAGCTGGAGAGAGTGTGTGAGGTCTAGGGGTGATATAGTGTTAGCCCCAATCAAACTTATCTGGGGACCAGAGAACAAAGGAGGACACTAGATTAAACAAAAAAGCCAGAAAATATGGCACACACCCTTAATGCTATCATGGGAGAGGCACAGAACCCTCTGGAGCTCATCCGAGTCTCTGAGGTCAAGGCCACTCTGGGAAGAGAGCCTTTAATCTCAACACTTGAGATCTCATGCCTTTGCTTGGGAAGCACACACGCCTTTAGTCCCAGGAAGTGATGTCAGGGCAGAGAAAGGTATATAATAAGGCCAGAGCAAAGAGAAACTCACACTCTTAAGGCTGAGGATTTTGTAGAGGTAAGAACAATGGCTGACTCTGCTGTTTCCTTGATGCTTCAGATTTACCCCAATATTCACCCCCCATTTTTTTTTTTTTTGGTATTGATAAGACCTTTTAGCAATTGATGTTACACCGTCATCTCCCAGGACAGGTCCTTCTGTGTCTCATCTGTTCCTTCCACAGGGGCACCTCTGATACTCACTAGAGGCTTTCCCTGGCCAAGCTTGACAACCAAGCTTTCCATGAGGTGAGAATGACCAGCATCTGTAGATGAGGAATGAAGGGTCCATTGTTTTCTAATGCTGCACGAGGCTGCTTCCTTAATCCACACACAGCTATTCCTGTTGCATGAAAACAGTGTTGATAACTCATTTATTCATTTTTTGACAGAGAAAAGCAAACCAAGTCAAAAGTTTGAGAAACACCCAAGAAGGCAGAATGGACCAGAGTGGGCAGCAGGAAAGACAAGGAAGCCCCTCAGGTAATCAGAGAGAAATGTGTGCTAAACCAAAAACCTTCTACTGCATTTCTTGATCTGTGATTCCTGAGATTATGGAAGACCCCAGATGTGAGCAGCAGTTGTGAGGATAGAGAGGTACTCAGTGGTTCCAAATCTCTGACCTTCTCACAGTAGAGACAGAGGTTCAGGGCCTGTGATAAGTTCCCTGGAGTGTGGGAGGGGTGGTTATGAGTTTAGGTCAAGACAGCATTCCCAGGTCCCACTTGTCCTGTGAGAGCCCCTTCTATTCTGAAATGTATGTTCTAAAACTGAAGACACCTTTGCTCTCCCAGTGAGTGGACTCCTTGTAATTAAGGTCAGGGTGGATGCCTGATCCTTGGCCGGCAAGCAAGTGTTGGTAATCTCATGATACATGAATGAGGGCACTGGGGCTGATCAGTGTGCAGGAAGAGTCCCCAGGAAAAGGTTAGATATGCATGTGCATGCTGGTAAATGTTGTGACCCATTCCTCTGTCCTTTGTAGGTCCTTCCCATTGGCGGTGGAGTGAGTATGAATTAAGTATCTTCCTAGTGGATTGGGAAGTGGTTGAACTGGAAGTGGGCCAGAAAGGGAAAAGAACTTGTAAAAAAGTCAGGAGTATTCGACAGCGACTCTATTGTAGGGGCCTGAGGAAGACCTGGCACGACTGTTTGCAACTGATGACTGATCTAAAGACCTTGCACTGGAGGCTCTCTCACGAGAGAGCAGGGGTCGAACCCTTGTTTTCTCCGTACTCGGAGAACCTCTACAGGATCCTTGGTCACAGACAAGAGTGGAGCCCCTTCCCAGGTTAGTCCCTTCTGCCGAGACCTCTGAGGCTCTATAGAGGGTGGTCTCAGCTGGCCTTTCTTCATGGGCACAGAATATAGGCAAGCCCCTGTCCCACAGGCCTCTGTGGCACAAAGCAGCAATGTCTGGTCTCTCTGTGTGTCTAACTCCCTCTCACACCCAAGCAATGGAACTATGACTTGTTCATAGTTGATTTTGACCAAGGGGCTAATTAATTACTGAAGGTGATTCAGGGAGAATCAGGATACCATGTTTATCATCTCTCTCTCTCTCTCTCTCTCTCTCTCTCTCTCTCTCTCTCTCTCTCTCTCTCTCTTTCTTCTCCCACAGGACCTCAATATGATGAAGCTGGTAATCCATACCTTCACATGTATTCTCAACCTCTAATGGTATGGTCGACTCCCATGTACCAGCCTTGGGATTATGGCTTCCCTGTGCCTTCTGGAGAGCTTCCTGGGAACCCACCAACAATGATGTACAGTGGGCAGTCTTGATTTCCTGATGGGAGACTTGAAAACATTTGACTGTGCCACACCTACTTCCTGTTTTGGCCCTGAAGAAACCAGCCTTCATCAGCCATGGTCAACTTCTTATGAGCACCTCCAGCCTAAGAGGCAACAATGTAGATTCCTTGAATTTTCTCTGACAACATTGCAATCATTATGTTTTGTATATGTAAACTTCTTTCTCTGTCTCCCTAGTGAAGAGTAGTAAGTGGAATCAAATAAAAGTTTCATAAGAAACTCTTGCCTCATCCTTGTCATTTCAGTGGGGCCCATAGGAGTAGTTGGGCAGGTGATGTGGTAGTGGTTGAGGTTCATTCCGGGGTAACTGGGACTTGGCCTCTACCCTCTATCTTCATCAACTCCTGGTATTGTGTCTCCTCGACTACAAGGGGAACCCCTGCTTCCATAAACAGCAGCTCAACACTGTATCTATTCTCTAGCCCTTGTGTTGTAGAACCTATGGACAGTGTTTCAGAGCCTCAGAATCCCCAGAATGCAATGGAAACCATTGGGAGCTAGAGACGTAGCTGTGTGTTGCAGTGATGCAACCTCAAGTAAGAGAATATCGGCCCCGGACCCCCATCCCTGGGCACCAGCCACTCCGGGAAAGACCTGCCCAACTTGGCCCCAGGATCTGGCCACCGGGCAGGTTCCCTTTTAGCCCCACCGGGAAGGATCCCCTTCTCCAAGACCCCTGGCAGACCCTGCAGTCTCCACGCCCTGCCCCCCACACCCATCAGCCCAAGCCCCAAGTCTCTTCCTGAGACTTAGAGGCCGGCCCCCAGCTCCCATCTTGCCCTGGACTTCCCTTTTGGAGCACAGGTGAGTGGTGCCCTAGCTTGCCCCGGACCCCATCCCTGGGCACCAGCCACTCCGGGGAAGACCTGCCCAACTTAGCCCCAGGTTCTGGCTACCGGGCAGGTTCCCTTCTAGCCACACCAGGAAGGATCCCCTCCTCCAAGACCCCTGGCAGACCCTGCAGTCTCCACGCCCTGCCCCCACGCCCATCTGCCCAAGCCCCAAGCCTCTTCCTGAGACTTAGAGACCGGCCCCCCAGCTCCCATCTTGCCCTGGACTTCCCTTTTGGAGCACAGGAGAGAGAGAGAGAGAGAGAGAGAGAGAGAGAGAGAGAGAGAGAGAGGAGAGAGAGAGAGAGAGAGAGAGAGAGAGACGGAGAGAGAGAGAGAGAGAGAGAGAGAGAGGGGGGAGAGAGAGAGAGAGAGAGAGAGAGAGAGAGAGAGAGAGAGAGAGAGAGAGAGAGAGAGAGAGAGAGGAAAGAGAGAGAAGAGCTCCCATCCTGCCCCGGACTTCCAATTTGGACAAGAGAGCTTCCATCTGGACAAGAGAGAGAGACTTCCTGAATCTGTCAGCTCTGTCTGAACCTAGTGTGCGGATAAGGCCAAGAACGAACCACAAGGAGATGGGCAGACGTCAAGGCAGAAACATATACAACAAAATGAATAGCAATACAGCATCACCAGGACCTAGCCCTCCTCCAACACCTAGACCTGAACATCAGAAATTGGAAGAAGCAGAAGAAAACAGCCTCATGAATGACATCATGAAGAAGCTAGAGGCTTGTGTAGAGGAAAAGACAAAAAAATGTGAAGAACGCTGTAAACAACTAGAGGAAAGGGCAAACAAATTAGAAGAAATCAATAAAGTCCTGGAAGAAAACAATAAAGTACTGAGAGAAAATCAAGAAAAATCAATGAAACAAATGAAGGAAACAGTCCAAGACCTGAAAAGGGAAATAGAAAAAATGAGAAAGACACAAACAGAGGGAATGCTGGAAATATAAAAGCTGAGTAAACGATTGGGAACTTCAGATATAAGTATAATCAACAGAATGCAAGAGATGGAAGAGAGGATCTCTAGCGTTGAAGATACAGTAGAAGAAATAGATTCATCAGTCAAAGAAAACACTAAAGCCAACAAAGTCATGAACCAAAATGTCCAAGAAATTTGGGACACCATGAAAAGACCAAACCTATGAATAATAGGGGTCAAAGAAGGAGAAGAATACCAACTCAAGGGCACAGAAAATATATTCAACAAGATCATAGAAGAAAACTTTCCCAACTTAAAGAAGGAAATGCCTATGAAGATACAAGAAGCTTATAGAACACCAAACAGACTAGACCCCCCAAAAAAAGTCCCCTCGCCACATAATAATTAAACAACTAAACGTACAGAATAAAGAAAGAATATTAAGAGCAGCAAAGGAAAAAGGCCAAGTGACATATAAAGGCAAACCCATCAGAATAACACCCGATTTCTCAATGGAGACTTTGAAAGCCAGAAGGATCTGGACAGATGTAATGCAGACACTAAGAGACCATGGATGTCAGCCTAGACTAATATACCCAGCAAAACTTTCAATCACCATAGATGGAGTGAACAAGACATTCCATGACAAAGCCAGATTTAAACAATACTTATCCACAAACCCAGCCCTACAGAAAGCACTAGAAGGAAAATTCCAACCTAAGGAAGTCAGGTACACCCTTGAAAACACAGGCAACAGATAAAGCCACAGCAGTAAGCCTCAACGTATAGAAGTACACACACATCACCACCAAAAAATAACAGGAATGAACAATCACTGGTCATTAATTTCCCTCAATATCAATGGACTTAATTCACCTATAAAAAGACATAGGCTTACAGAATGGATACGAAAGCAGGACCCATCTTTCTGCTGCATATAAGAAACACATCTCAAATTCAAAGATAGACACTACCTAAAAATAAAAGGCTGGGAAAAGACTTTCCAATCAAACGGTCTTAAGAAACAAGCAGGTGTAGCCATCCTGATATCCAGCAAAATAGACTTCAAACTAAAATCAATCAAAAGAGATCAAGAAGGGCATTACATACTCGTCACAGGAAAGATCCACCAAGATGAAGTCTCAATTCTGAACATTTATGCCCCAAACACAAGGGCACCCAAATATGTAAAAGAAACATTACTAAAGCTTAAATCACATATAAAACCCCACACATTAATAGTGGGAGACCTCAACACCTCACTTTCACCACTGGACAGATCTCCCAAATTGAAACTTAACAGAGAAATAAAGGACTTAACTGATGTCATGACTCAAATGGACTTAATCGATATCTACAGAACATTCCATCCTAACAAAAAAGAATATACCTTCTTCTCAGCACCCCATGGAACCTTCTCTAAAATCGACCACATACTTGGCCACAAAACAAATCTAAACAGATACAAAACAATTGGAATAACCTCCTGTGTTCTATCAGACCACCATGGTCTAAAGTTGGATTTCAACAACAACAAAAACTACAGAAAACCTACAATCTCATGGAAACTGAATAATACCCAACTGAATCACCAATGGGTTAAGGAAGAAATAAAGAAAGAAATTAAAGACTTCCTAGAGATCAATGAAAATGAAGACACCACATATCCAAACCTATGGGACACTATGAAAGCAGTACTAAGAGGGAAATTCATAGCACTAAATGCCCACATAAATAAGTTGGAGAAATCTCACACTAGTGACTTAACAGCACACATGAAAGCTCTAGAACAAGAAGAAGCAAAGTCTCCCAGGAAAAATACAAAAAATTAAAGAAACAAAGAGTTGGTTCTTTGAGAAAATCAACAAGATAGACAAGCCCTCATCCAAACTAACCAAAAGACAGAGAGAGAGCATCCAAATCAACAAAATCAGAAACGAAAAGGGGGACATAACAACAGACATTGAGGAAATCCAGAGAATCATCAGGTCATACTTCAAAAACCTCTATTCCACAAAACTGGAAAACCTAAAAGAAATGGATAACTCTCTGGATAGGTGCCACATACCTAAGTTAAATCAAGACCAGATAAACTATTTAAATAGTCCAATAACCCCTAACGAAATAGAAACAGTCATTAAAAGTCTCCCAACCAAAAAAAGCCCAGGACCAGATGGTTTCAGCGCAGAATTCTACCAGATCTTCAAAGAAGAGTTAATACCAATACTCTCTAAATTGTTCCACACAATAGAAACAGAAGGAACATTACCAAACTCCTTCTACGAGGCTACAATTACCCTGATCCCTAAACCAAACAAGGATACAACAAAGAAAGAGAACTACAGACCGATCTCCCTCATGAACATTGATGCAAAAATACTCAATAAAATACTGGCAAACAGACTCCAAGAACACATCAAAACAATTATCCACCATGATCAAGTAGGATTCATTCCAGGGATGCAAGGGTGGTTCAACATACGAAAGTCCATCAATGTAATACACCATATAAACAAACTCAAAGAAAAAAACCACATGATCATCTCACTGGATGCAGAAAAGGCATTTGACAAAATCCAACACCCCTTCATGATAAAGGTCTTGGAGCGATCAGGAATACAGGGAACATACCTAAACATAATAAAGGCAATTTACAGCAAGCCAACAGCCAACATCAAATTAAATGGAGAGAAACTCAAAGCAATTCCACTAAAATCAGGAACG